GAGTATTTTGACCACATCATCCTCTTTATGCATGTTGTCTTACTCCAAGCTGTATAGGCTCGAAAGCCTACTATCAATTAAGCATATTAGGTGATGTGCATCTCTGTAATGAGAAGGGGTGTGGTCTAATGACATCAACACCCTATATCAGGTGTGCATAATTATTAGGCAACTTCCTTTCCTTTGGCAAAATGGGTCAAAAGAAGGACTTGACAGGCTCAGAAAAGTCAAAAATAGTGAGATATCTTGCAGAGGGATGCAGCACTCTTAAAATTGCAAAGCTTCTGAAGCGTGATCATCGAACAATCAAGCGTTTCATTCAAAATAGTCAACAGGGTCGCAAGAAGCGTGTGGAAAAACCAAGGCGCAAAATAACTGCCCATGAACTGAGAAAAGTCAAGCGTGCAGCTGCCACGATGCCACTTGCCACCAGTTTGGCCATATTTCAGAGCTGCAACATCACTGGAGTGCCCAAAAGCACAAGGTGTGCAATACTCAGAGACATGGCCAAGGTAAGAAAGGCTGAAAGACGACCACCACTGAACAAGACACACAAGCTGAAACGTCAAGACTGGGCCAAGAAATATCTCAAGACTGATTTTTCTAAGGTTTTATGGACTGATGAAATGAGAGTGAGTCTTGATGGGCCAGATGGATGGGCCCGTGGCTGGATTGGTAAAGGGCAGAGAGCTCCAGTCCGACTCAGACGCCAGCAAGGTGGAGGTGGAGTACTGGTTTGGGCTGGTATCATCAAAGATGAGCTTGTGGGGCCTTTTCGGGTTGAGGATGGAGTCAAGCTCAACTCCCAGTCCTACTGCCAGTTCCTGGAAGACACCTTCTTCAAGCAGTGGTACAGGAAGAAGTCTGCATCCTTCAAGAAAAACATGATTTTCATGCAGGACAATGCTCCATCACACGCGTCCAAGTACTCCACAGCGTGGCTGGCAAGAAAGGGTATAAAAGAAGAAAATCTAATGACATGGCCTCCTTGTTCACCTGATCTGAACCCCATTGAGAACCTGTGGTCCATCATCAAATGTGAGATTTACAAGGAGGGAAAACAGTACACCTCTCTGAACAGTGTCTGGGAGGCTGTGGTTGCTGCTGCACGCAATGTTGATGGTGAACAGATCAAAACACTGACAGAATCCATGGATGGCAGGCTTTTGAGTGTCCTTGCAAAGAAAGGTGGCTATATTGGTCACTGATTTGTTTTTGTTTTGTTTTTGAATGTCAGAAATGTATATTTGTGAATGTTGAGATGTTATATTGGTTTCACTGGTAATAATAAATAATTGAAATGGGTATATATTTGTTTTTTGTTAAGTTGCCTAATAATTATGCACAGTAATAGTCACCTGCACACACAGATATCCCCCTAACATAGCTATAACTAAAAACAAACTAAAAACTACTTCCAAAAATATTCAGCTTTGATATTAATGAGTTTTTTGGGTTCATTGAGAACATGGTTGTTGTTCAATAATAAAATTAATCCTCAAAAATACAACTTGCCTAATAATTCTGCACTCCCTGTATATCTTGACGGTGTCTGTTGTCTATCCTCTCTTACATTTAGAGTAGGCCCCTCTACCTTGTGGTCTTTTGAGACATTGCACTATGCATACTTTCTGTTAATCTTTGTATTTGTTTTCTGTTTTGTGCCACATTTAAGCATTATTTAGCTATTTATTAACAGTTAAATATATTTACAGGGTAATTCACTAAGGACCGAAGGTAGCTGTACTGGCAGCCAAATGGCAGGCGAAAAGGATCTTAAACCGTATCAGAGGTGAGGTTGACTAAGGCTCAGTACTGCTATTTAAGCAGTATTTCGCCAGCCTTTGGCCGCAATAAGGCTGCACTGTATGGTCTCCAGCCGTCCGGCTGAGGTGAAGGGATAGAGATCCTTCGCCTCATTAAGAATCAACACGGATGGTGGGGAGGGGCCTGACTGGAAACATGGAAGGACGCATTTCAATCAAGGGGTTGTCCTGTGTTTACAATACATGCCTGACACTCTGGGGGCATTAACCCCTTCCATTACATGGCATGGAAGTGGCTAATCTGCAGGTTTTATTAATCTTTCCAGTTTGTCATTTCATTCATTTCTTAAATGAATTTTTAATGAAGGCAAGGGTACATGCTATATAATATTACTATCATTTATTTTGTGTATACTTTATCTTATTTTTTTCATAAGAGTGAGTTATAATCTTTTCTGTGAAAGTTGTATATGGCAGAAGCAAATACATTTGCAATTGTCAAATTTATATATGAAAATGATGCTCCAGGCATTATTCTTTCATGGCAGGCGACTGATTACATGTTACTATCCAGAGTCTAAAACTGACCAAATGAGAGAACGCCTCATTAAGGAGGACGTGAGTCCACAGAACAAAGCATACAAGTGGGCAATCTGCAAAGTGCATGTTATTGGGAGTATCTACTCTTTTGTATAGTAATACAATAAACCTGCTAGTCCTTTTCTTCTAGTTTATTTGTCCTACAGTATACTTTGTGTGTGTGTGTATATATATATATTTAATATTTATTTTCTTTGTCTTTGTGTATTTCCAGCTACATTTGCTTTGGCCAGAAGTAATCTTAAAAAAGCAGAGGAAACCTCAGGCTTGGACCCTGACCCTGACCTCAGTGAGGAAAGACCTAGAAGGAAAATCAAGAAAGCAACTGTATTGCTTCCTGGAGAAGAGGCTGGTGATGAAGGATCTGATATATAAGAAACAGAAATACAAAACCATGTAACAAGGTGTCCATCCGTACAACAACGATCATCTGTGCTACCACCTTTCCCTCAGCCTGAGTCCTTTCATGTACCAGTTGCTGCATCTTTATTCTCACATTTATTTTTTCCTTCCTCAGCTATGTTTTCTAATGCTCCATATGTTTCTTCACCAACTAACTTCCCCCAATCAGCCCAGCTTGGTTCAACTACACATTGCCCCTCTAATAATGCACCTCTTACACTAACAGATATTTCTAAATCCTGCTTTACACCTTTCCAACACGAGTCGTCCGTTACAAAATCTCTGCATTCTTCAAAAACTTCTTACACTCAAAGTCCTCCAACTATAATTCCTTTCGATTCTGCTGCATCTAGTAGAGCTACACACCATTCTTCCTTTCAAGAAGACTTGCAGCACATTTTCCATTATTCAGGTTTGTATAACATTGTTTTTCTATTTGTTTGCAATGTATATTTTTTTTTACTGTGTCCATGTTTTATTAAGTATTTTACATGTTATATTGTCTGCTTCATTTCCACACTGCTTGCAAAAGATCATGTACTCTTCATTTGGTCCCAATATGCTTGCTGTACATTGTTTCACCTTGATCTAAGGCTAAACCTTAAAAAAAATAAAAAATAAAAAAAAGCTCTTAGATGAATCTTAAGCCTTCACCAACAATTTTGTGTTGAAGAAGTAGAAATTTGAGGTAGTTTGCATAATTTGTATGCTGAATAAAAGGAGAAAAACAGTTTAGTTGTCACTTTCTGACATGGTCAAATGGAGAGTGCTCAATAATTACAACAGGGCATTTAAAGTTGCTCTCGGTAATATGTCTGAATCTTACTTATGCCTTTCTCTTTTATTTCTAGCTCCAGCAAGAGAGAATAGAAAATGGACAGCTGTTCTCCAGTGGATGGCAGACATAACTGGAAGACTTGAAAAAAATAGTGGAAAGATTGGAAGCCAGAGCACAAATACATGTACCTATAGCAGAAGATGACACATCAATGTTTAGTCTTCTGGCCCTGAAGTCTTTGGACTAATTTTAAAAATTGGTAGATGCTTAAACAAGCAAATCTCTGAAAAACAAACTGGTAAGCTCTTGAGCTGAGGTGTATCCCTTTACAGTTGGACTCAATGTGCCTCTTTAACACAGTTGTATATTTAAAACCTTATGAGTTGTATGATTTATTGGAATACGTCAATGATGTGTACATTAAACTGAGCAGTTATTTTAGTGCAACATTAGGCTGAAATGTTTTCAGATTCTTTATTAGTTGATGTATTTTTTTAGTATTAAAGAATTTTCAGAATGCAAAAGACCTATGAAATACGGTTCTTATTTGTTGACATTTGGAATATTGGTATTTAATCCTCGATTGAATATATTTCTGAAGTGAGAGGTTCTCTAGAGGCACGTTATTTCATTACATATGGATATATGTCTGTTTATCATATAGTTAGTACTGTATCTCTAGAAAATATATTTCTTATGCTTACTAATTGTTTATTTTCACAGGTCAGCTCCAGATCCAAGCCCATAGAACAGATGCCGATTATATATTTTGTTTGTCTTGAAAAATGTAATTATTCTTTGATTTATCGTTGTAGTTATATGTTTAGTAATGTTTTGGTAAATGTTCTTTTACATGTTTGGCAAACGTTCAACCTAAAAAATGTAACTAAAATGTAATGCTTTTTTAGGTATTGATTTTATTAAAATATTTTAATTAATATTTTTATGTTGATCACTATTTTCTTAATGCACTATTGAGGTTTGCAGTTTTTTCCACATTTAACAAAATTAAGATTAATTTATCCATGTCAGTAATGGCATAAAATTTGCATTTGATTTTCAGATTTACATACAACGTGCACAATTGTATAAAATATATTTTATTCTTATGCTGTAACTAATAGATGGATAATTGTTAAATTAATGCTGTTAAAGATATAAAATAGTCAGTTTTTGCTAAAAATATATTTTAAATGTTAATCATATTTTTTATTTGCAAATAAATATATTACCAAAGATAATACATACGTATATAACAATACCTAAGGTAAATAACTGTACTATTATACCTGGGATATTAGTGTAATACACTTAAATAGTCAAGTAATAATCAGGTAATGTATGAAATTAAAAACTTTTAAAAATATGACATTCACAAAAGTAAATTTACCGGCTTAAAGTAAATTTGTAAATACAATTTACATAAGGTTGGTACTCACTAAAAAGTAAAGTGAGGTGAATTGGAATAATCTAGGCCGAAAAAACTGAACTAGAAATATTTGAATGTGAATGGTTTTGAAGTTTAGCCATATATTTCGTCAGATTTTGCAATTCTCCTTGCCTATTCACTTTTTAGTGAATAGACCCTATAAAAACTTACAGGGCTCTTGCTGTAAACTTGCCACTGCAACTGTGCTCTTGCTGTAGACTTGCCACAGCAATTTTGCTTTTGCTGTAGACTCACAGGGCTCTGGCTGTAGACTTGTCACTGCAATTTTGCTCTTGCTCGTGACTTGCCAAGCAAATGTTCTACAAATTTAAAAAGTGTCAACTAGAACTTGAGCTGCAAGAGCTCTGCTAGTGAATCACTTGCCAGTGAAAATGTGCAGCAAGTTAAACAGACTTACAGTTTAAGTCTTCCACACATTTGTGGCAAGTTATCCTTGCTATCTGGGAAAAAGGCTGAAGGAGTGACCTGTACTGGGTGTCCACGCTACTAGACCCCTGGTATAAGCAGAAAGTGCCTGAAATGTTACCGAATTACGGCAAGTCGGAAAGGATGCAGCAGTTCCAAAATCAATTAAAAAGTATGCTTTACACCGCGTATAATGGTGATGTCACAGCACAACGGGAATCTATCAGGGGAAGAGGTGAAAGTAATCCTCCTCCCACGACCACCCGGCAAGGACAGGACGCTTTACAGACGTGTTGATTGAGGACATGCTGAGCTTTTTAAGTCCTACGCATCGCCACTGCCCTTCGGGGTCCACCCTCAGAACGACTCGACCGACAGGTAGCAGACTACCTCGCCTTAACTGCAGATATCGACACTGAGGAGCGATGAACCCCTTGACTACTGGGTGTGCAGGCTTGACCTGTGGCCTGAGCAATCCCAATTTGCGATAGAACTTCTGGCCTGCCCCGCTTCAAGTGTCCTGTCAGAAAGGACCTTGAGTGCAGCAGGAGGTATTGTCACTGAGAAGAGAAGTCGCCTAGGTCAAAAAAGTCTAGATTACCTCACCTTTTAAGATGAATGAGGGATGGATCCCGAAGGGACTGACAGTGGGCGATACATTCGACTAAAAAAGGCCTGATGAGGGGGACGTAACAGGGTGTCGCAGCTGCTGGCCCGCCACGTGATATTTAAATCCCTAGCTCACCCCAGTACCTTGCCCTGCCCCGTCGTGGTTTCCTGTTCCTGTTTCCTGAGAGTGCTTTATCATTGTGAATCTGATTTCCTGGTATCCTGAATTCTGGTTTCCCTGACTTGGCTTGTGTAAACGGTATTGTGTATTTTCTGGCTTCCTTGACCTCGGCTTTCCCTTTGACCATTCTCTGTCTCTAGCGTATTAGTCCGGCCATTCTAAGGTCCGGTTTACGCTCTGTCCTTTTATTTTCCTTTTCTTGCCTATGTATATGTTTACATAGTTTCTGCGTGCTGGACCACACTAGTAGTCGTGACTGTGGTGAAATTCTGTCAAACTAATATGGTGACCAGGGGTCATGTGACCAAGCTCATGTATGCCTTTCTTACAGGGGATAAGCTTTACCCTTTGATATGGTAATTGGGTAATTCAATACCTTTACAAGTCAGGAGAGAGATAACCACTTCCCCCTATCTCCATTCCTCTCTGTTCCTTCTTGGCTGTGCTACAAAGCAGACGCCATGTGCTATCTTGGTGAACCATGTTACTCTGTTGCTTCCTTTTCTTCCTTGGTGGATGTGATGTTGTAATGGCTCACTGCTGCAAGTTCTAGATGTGAAGGCCTAACCGTGGGTGAGATCAAACATGTGGGGAGGGGGATTACAATATAGATAGATTTAAAAAGGGTTGTTGCTCCGTGGGTCTGGGCTGTGTGTGATACATTTATAGTATTGTGTTGTTGCCTTTTAATAAATACGAACCTTGTGTAATATATATATATTAATTTGGTGATACACCACATTTGGCGACCACAAATTTTAGACTTCTACAAAGGTTATTTATGAGGTAATAACACATTAATAGATAATCAGATTTATTTTTTTGGGGGGGAGAAAAAAAAATGTACTTTGTTTTAATTATCCTCTGTATGGGAAATCAAGGGCTGATTGTGTGTGGAGTCTAGTTTGGGCCTCCAATTTTAATATACTAGCTTAGGCATTAGGCCTCAATTTTGAATATATTAGTTTGTGTGTTTCAAATACCTGAGTTTGTTGTGTTTTGACTACCATTAGTTCACGCCTAGTAGTTTTTCAGGCCTTCATTTTTTTTAATACACTACCAGCATAGGCCTCAAGTTTGAATATATTATTGTTTTTAATCCTTTATATTGTACTAGCTTATTACATAAAACAAAGGTATTATACAGGTTGTTTTTGTGGGTTTCAAATATCTGAGTTGAGTTTTGTTGTGTTTTGACTATCAGAGTACAGGTCTAGACCTGCATTATAATAGGCTTCCATGCTGCTTCTTTTTGTATTTGAATGCTGATTTGATTACCATAGTTCAGGCCTAGTAGTTTTTTTTCAGGCCTTCATTTAATACACTACCAGCATAGGCCTCAATTTTGAATATATTAATCCTTTTTTTGTACTAGCTTATTTTGCTACATAAAACAAAGGTATAAAGGTTTGTATGTTTTAAATATTCTATCATAGTACAGGCCTAGAGAATTTATTTATTTTTTTACTTATTTCAGGCCTGCATTTTAATACACTATAGGCTTCCATACTTTATTTTTTTGTAAAAAGAAACGGGTATAGGCGCTCACTAAAATGACTAGAGGTGCGGCAGCAGTAAACCAGCAGGGCTTCCCAGTGCCTGCTATTAACCAAAAAGTACAGAAAACAAAGTGGGATACCGCGCCAACGGAGTATACAGGGAGTGCAGAATTATTAGGCAAATTAGTATTTTGACCACATCATCCTCTTTATGCATGTTGTCCTACTCCAAGCTGTATAGGCTCGAAAGCCTACCACCAATTAAGCATATTAGGTGATGTGCATCTCTGTAATGAGAAGGGGTGTGGTCTAATGACATCAACACCCTATATCAGGTGTGCATAATTATTAGGCAACTTCCTTTCCTTTGGCAAAATGGGTCAAAAGAAGGACTTGACAGGCTCAGAAAAGTCAAAAATAGTGAGATATCTTGCAGAGGGATGCAGCACTCTTAAAATTGCAAAGCTTCTGAAGCGTGATCATCGAACAATCAAGCGTTTCATTCAAAATAGTCAACAGGGTCGCAAGAAGCGTGTGGAAAAACCAAGGCGCAAAATAACTGCCCATGAACTGAGAAAAGTCAAGCGTGCAGCTGCCACGATGCCACTTGCCACCAGTTTGGCCATATTTCAGAGCTGCAACATCACTGGAGTGCCCAAAAGCACAAGGTGTGCAATACTCAGAGACATGGCCAAGGTAAGAAAGGCTGAAAGACGACCACCACTGAACAAGACACACAAGCTGAAACGTCAAGACTGGGCCAAGAAATATCTCAAGACTGATTTTTCTAAGGTTTTATGGACTGATGAAATGAGAGTGAGTCTTGATGGGCCAGATGGATGGGCCCGTGGCTGGATTGGTAAAGGGCAGAGAGCTCCAGTCCGACTCAGACGCCAGCAAGGTGGAGGTGGAGTACTGGTTTGGGCTGGTATCATCAAAGATGAGCTTGTGGGGCCTTTTCGGGTTGAGGATGGAGTCAAGCTCAACTCCCAGTCCTACTGCCAGTTCCTGGAAGACACCTTCTTCAAGCAGTGGTACAGGAAGAAGTCTGCATCCTTCAAGAAAAACATGATTTTCATGCAGGACAATGCTCCATCACACGCGTCCAAGTACTCCACAGCGTGGCTGGCAAGAAAGGGTATAAAAGAAGAAAATCTAATGACATGGCCTCCTTGTTCACCTGATCTGAACCCCATTGAGAACCTGTGGTCCATCATCAAATGTGAGATTTACAAGGAGGGAAAACAGTACACCTCTCTGAACAGTGTCTGGGAGGCTGTGGTTGCTGCTGCACGCAATGTTGATGGTGAACAGATCAAAACACTGACAGAATCCATGGATGGCAGGCTTTTGAGTGTCCTTGCAAAGAAAGGTGGCTATATTGGTCACTGATTTGTTTTTGTTTTGTTTTTGAATGTCAGAAATGTATATTTGTGAATGTTGAGATGTTATATTGGTTTCACTGGTAATAATAAATAATTGAAATGGGTATGTATTTGTTTTTTGTTAAGTTGCCTAATAATTATGCACAGTAATAGTCACCTGCACACACAGATATCCCCCTAACATAGCTAAAACTAAAAACAAACTAAAAACTACTTCCACAAATATTCAGCTTTGATATTAATGTTTTTTGGGTTCATTGAGAACATGGTTGTTCAATAATAAAATTAATCCTCAAAAATACAACTTGCCTAATAATTCTGCACTCCCTGTATAGAGTATTTAGTAACAAAGGAAAAAATATATACATACAAGATAGTCCAAATAGTACAGTAGTTAGTGTCGACCTTAAAAAAGATAGAATTTGGACAATAATAGTGCAGTATGTCAAATTTAAAATACTTTGTGTGTCTTGAATATCCTAGTTCAGGTATAAATCCTACCCTCCAGGCCTTGCTATATTTTAATATACGAAGGTAATTGAGTTTTGGTTTGTTTTTTCTATTTACACCTGGCCTTCTGAATAGACCAACTATTGTTGGCTATTCAGAAGCGTGCTACTTTAGTTGCAAATTGATTTAAATTGGGTTCTTACTTGGGTGAGTAAAAGAGTAGGAATGTCTTTTCAAGGGGCCAAATACTTTTCCACAGAAGTACGTGAGTACTTTAGGAGACATTCAAAAACATTATGGTCCATATGAGCTTCCCAGAGCCAGCAAACCCAGACAGTGAAAAAGAGGAGATAATAAATGTACTAACAAATTGTAAATAACAAAAAGTATAGAACAAAGAAAAGAAAAGGTTTGGTCACACAAGCTGTTGTAGCCACAATAGGAGGCCTAATATAGACAGTTGTAGAATTACGGCAGCATAATTTGGAAACAAATAAAATGGAAGCAATGGACAAAAGGGATTGTTTAAAAATTGCAGCTTTGAGAACAACTACAATTGTTGGGGAACTAGAAAAGGAGTTAAGAGAAATAGAACAGAGAGATGCATATATTGCTAAGATCACTGAACTCCAAGACCTAGTCATGGAATATAAAATGAAAATTAAAAAAAAACACAAATAAATGGGATAAGGAGATTCCTAAAGTATGCCCAGACCAGTCTTATTTTATATCTGAAAGTAAAGAACCAGTGCTGGGAACAAAACACAAGGGAAATGTGCCAGTTGTAAATTGTGTCCCACAAGCCCCTATAATAATAACTGAACATTTTAATGTAAGAGAAATGCCTACTAGCTTCTCTAGACAGAAAAGGACTATGTCAATCACAGACAAAAGATAATTTCCAGAAATGGTGGGGAAGTATGCCAACTGTCGACTTTAACACCTTTACACATTGGTTTATGAGGGGAGCAAATAGAGCAAAAAAAGGAGGTCTTAACTTAGAAGAATGGAAAGAACTGTTAGAATATGCTATGGGTCCCTTGGCTAGCAGACTATTTGGATTTAATAACAGTGTGTCTGATCAGGCAGGAAGAATTGTTGCAACGATTTTCTATCTACTCAGCACGGAGAAAGAAATAGTTATTATGATGAGGCCAGCAGATGGTCCTAGAGAGGTAGCTCAAAGGATATTGTTCTGGTATATGCTATGCCAACCTCAACAGCCTCTGGCCTTGGGCTCACCAGAACACATTGCTAAAGTAATGGAAGCCCTTCCCTGTGAGTGTCAAGAATTTGTGAGGAGCAGACTTAGAAATGGTACTAACTAGAGCTCACAATTGGTGGATCAAGCATCCTTCCTCAGAACAGGCCTTCTCTGTTTCAGCCATAAGAACATTCAAGGTCGACTCTGGTAAAGATATAGATGGTAAATGGAGAAGCCAGAGGTGGGATGTACCCCAGAACAAGAGGGATAATGAGAACTGGAGACCAAAACAGGACTTTGACAAAAGATGGAGAGATTCACAGAGGGACCATAGGAATGTAATGGGAGATAATTGGAGGAATAGATGGGAGGGGCCTAAGGTAATCAATAATTGGAATAAAAATACCTGGGAGAGGCTAAAAAGGACAGATTAACTGGGAAAATCACAATTGGGGAGAAAAACTGAGAAACAGGAACGTTATTAGGAGAATAATTGGAGAAGGAACCATAGATGGGATGAGCATCAGACCAATAGACGGAATTGGGATAATTGGAGGAATAAAGAAGGGAAGAGACTACTGGGACCTAAAGGAGACAGACTAAAAGATTGGAGGCAGACGTGAAAGCGCTGAGGGAACAGTTGAGAGAGGAGGAACAGATTGATCAATTGGGGGGTCTCAGCAATCAATAACACTCAATTTTGTGTTGCTCTCTACATCTGTATGTATGTTTTTCTTTTGTTTCGTTCTCTCAGTCTTCCAGTCTCCCATTTAGCTATACCTTTCTAATGATGAGATCTAGTGTTCCCACAGAGCAAGGCAAAGCTGTATTAGGATGATGATGTGTGTCAGAAGATCGTAGTGGATCCTTGTTACAGGATGGTTAAGTATAAGCTGTATCACAGTAGGGATGGGAGACAGGCAATACGGCCAGAACATACTCCAAATAAGGGAGAAGATTAGTCTATATTTTAATATATTTAATATTCCTTCTTTTCCTCCAAGGTGTCCGGAACAACGGCAACAGTGTTTTAGGCAAAGCAGGGTGTAAGGAAAAACGGGACAATTTGCAGCTCTACTGGGAGGAGTCGGAACTGGAATGAGAGTATGGAATTCTGCAAATATCACATCCAGTCCTACAAACTTTGCCGCTAGTACTCATGCTCATAATTACATAATACTCTCTCTTTCATACATTCTTCAATAAAGTTTTACATTGCACACACACTCACCTAAATTCTATAAGTTCTGTTTTTTTTGTGACACTTTGTATAATATGTGAATTGACAGCCATAGGAAAATACAGGAGAACTTATGTCGCTGAGGGAACTATTCCGGAAGGGACAGTGGGTTGAATTTCTCCTGTATATCAGGTTTTTGCTCCCACTGGGTTCTCTTGTACTAGAGGGATAACTAGATAATGGAGCAACATAGAAGTTAAAGTGGGGGAATGTGGGGTGACGCAACCCCTATTTGACTTTTTTCACCTTGCTTATATCACTCACTATAATTCCTGTGCTCCCCTTTCCTACTTCAGATCTCATAGTTTAGATAGATAAGAGAGTTTATTTTTAAATGTGCTCAACATAAAAGAAGAAAAAGTGAAGGAATGTGGTGACATTCTGTCAAACTAATATGGTGACTAGGGGTCACGTGACCAAGCTCATGTATGCCTTTCTTACAGGGGATAAGCTTTACCCTTTGATATGGTAATTGGGTAATTCAATACCTTTACAAGTCAGGAGAGAGATAACCACTTCCCCCTATCTCCATTCCTCTGTTCCTTCTTGGCTGTGCTACAAAGCAGACGCCGTGTGCTATTTGGTGAACTATGTTACTGTCTGTTGCTTCCTTTTCTTCCTTGGTGGA